CCACCATCTTGTTTTGATGAAAAAGTGCTTCCGGTGAGCTTTTCCGGGTAGAAAGCTCACCGGAAGCACTTTTTCATCAAAACAAGATGGCGGCGCCCAGCTGATGTCGGTACCGGGCCGCGCCATAAAAAAGGTTGGGGATCACTGTTTTAGATGATCCATCTACTTGTTTTCTTTTCTTTTTACTTCCCTCAATCTGGCCAAGCAGGCTTTTTTTATTCTTTCTTGTTTATCATCTGTTCAAATCATATGTCCATGATATGCAAGCCTCTACTTGCTGATTACCACCTCAAGTTACCACCTCAAGTTACCACCTCACCTTTTATTTAGAGTGACAGCAAAAGAGGGCCATCATCCTATTTTATATTATGTGACTTTCAGAATGCACCTGACTGGCCTTATATAGCACAAGAATGCTGAATTAGATGGATAACTGGCTAATTCAACAAGGCTCTCATTTGCTTACTGACTACTGTGAAACCCAAAACCATGTTCAGTTTTACTGTATTTAGATCTAATACAGAACTGACTCATCATTTGTTTTCAGATAATATACAAGCAACATGAGTAGTAAATACAGAGTAATAGACTGATCTCACAGGTTTCCCTATGTTGTATAATATGGCAGGAAATAGCAAAGTGAATATCAATATTTTCTTCAAGTAAGAAAGACGATTAAAGGAAAATAACATCTAATTATATCACCACAGGACATCATAAAATTGATTTGAGATGTCTCCAATACAGCACAACACAATTCAAACTGAAATTCTGATTTAGAATAGTCTCCCACCTGATATGGGGGGGGGGGGGCTATTCTTTTAGCCCTCTGAAGGCCATGAACCCTGGCTTTCCCTCCCCTCTTCACAGGATTGTGTTGAGTTGGGGGTCAGTAGTATGGATGGCTATGTAGCCTTGATGAGAAAGTGCTTTATGTAATGTTTTTAGTAGTTGTTGGGAGCAGCCTAAGATTAATATGTGAGATAGAGAGTCATATAAACTCTTTAAATAAATAACCTACATAGTTGCAATTTTAAAAAAAGAATTCAACACCTCGTGTATTTTTTCCACAGTCATTTGGAGCAATATATTGATAAACCAGCTACCATATTATCAACGTTCAAAGAGAAAATCTTTTGGAGAAATAAAGAGACAGACAGACTTACCATTCAGGTCCAAAGTTAAGTGTCTGAGTTTCCGCTGCCATTTTTGAAAAATATTAACCTGAAAAAGAAAACACAAACTATGAATACATAAGAGTGTATATAAGTTCTAGTGCCACAGCTCTACTGGAAGAGACCTTGGAGGTCCTCTAGTCTAATAAATGCATAAAACACAGTCTCCAGTAAAATTCAATCGTTCCATTTTCAACATTAGCAAAGATGCTTCCTTTAAAAGAACTCACATTCCTTTCAGTATATTCTTTAATCAAAACCTAGTTTTTGCTAGGAAGTAGCTGGGAAAGCAGAAGTAGCTGGGAAAGCAGAAGTAGCTAATCTTTTTACTAACTTTGTATTCCAAAATATAGCAGTCTAACATACAACAAGCCAGCAGACAGATGTCATATCTTGTGTGATTGAGAAAGATTCTTGGCTTTGCTATACCTTTGCTATAAAGGTATAATTACAAACAATGTCTATTTCACACACTTCACAAATAGCCTGTGATCCACTAGCCTATGACTTCCAGGGTTACTAAGGGCTTTTCTTCTAAGACAAATGCAACTAACAACATAAGTCATAGGGATATATGGATTCACTCATAATTCATCACACAGTCAGAAACAGCATGACTCTGTTAAATACTTTTAGAGAAAATATTCTCCTTTACCAGAGACCTCGGAGTTTTCTGCGTAGGATCTTAGCTGTTCCTAACAATGCACTCTTTAGGACAGAGAACTCTGATGTTCCTGGGATCTTTTGGAGCCACTCTTCATACTCTGTACTTAGATCCTGTCTAGTAGATCCCTACTTTTATGGATCTGGTGCCTAGTGCTGTTCTTGTGCTGCTATGATCAGTGCCTCAGTGCTTTTAATCCAGCCCTTTTCAGCCACTGGTAGGATTTCCCAATATCTGCCACCTCAGCTATCTGTGTCAATGGTACATCATATGCAGGGTTTTGCCTTGCCATGGCACTTCCTCCAATGTCTGCTGGGAGGCATTCTCTGCTGACTCAGGCATTCTCTCAGAAGCTCATCTTTGGTGCCATCTTACTGATGTATTCCTGGGTACTCTGGGTTTTGTCCACCCTCTTTCCAGCTAGTGTACAGTCTCTGGGTGTTGGACTTAGGGTGGGAACCTCTGTACACTGTACATGAAGAGCTTCTGGGTCTTCACATTGGCAGCTTCCATGTCCTTTTTGGGCCAGCTCACTATACCAAGAGGGTATCTGATGAATGATAGACCATAAGTGTTGATGGGATGGATCTTGTTCTTCCCATTAATCTGGCTCTTCAGGACCTGTGATCCTTTCGTGGTACTTGGATGTTCCTGTCTTTTTTACTTCCTTGCCATGGTTCCCATGTGACTATGACATACCAAATTACTTGTAACTGGTCTGAATGTTATGTGGCCCTCTGGTGGTTCCATCCCATCCATCCTAACTACTTTTCCTCTCTTGATTACCATCTAGCCACTCTTCTCTAGTCTGAATGACATCCTAATGTCCTCACTGGAGATCCATGTCAGGTGATCAGTGAGTTGATGTCTCATTCACTCTTAACATTCAACTTGATGTCATCCATGTGTACAAGAGGTGGCTGATGGTAGTTCCACTCTTGAACTTGTATCCATATCCAGCCCTGGATCAAGGAGTGCATGAAAGGGAGAGGGAGGGAGAGGGAGACCAAACACCATACCCTAGAAAGTTAAAGTACAGCTCTATTTAACTTTATAAAAAAATAAAATGTACGATTAAATTTGTCAAGTATAAGTTACATTGTATTATTAAGTAGAAACTAACAGATTTTAACACTTAACCTGTCATTGCTACCTAGGGAGGCAGCAAGATAAGATATTAGTTGTTTTTCAATACCAGAGAGACTCTGCAAAGAGATGAAGACTTATGTATCTGGGAGATTACATTAGTATCCACAGAAAGTAAGAGTAGCATTAATAAAATGTTGGTGATAGACTTTAAAATATTCTGGGAGTGAGAAATAACTATGTATCTGGGGTCTTAACTGTCTTCAATTCTCTCCAGCAGCTCCCGGTGCTTTTCAAGCCTGTATACTGTAGTAGATACCTAAGAAAAACTACTTTGGAATCTGAAGGACTGAATATTGTGTGGCAGACCTGCAAAAACCACAAAGGGATGCATGGTAGAATAAGAAGAAAGATTTTTTCTTTGACAATCAAGCCTCAAACTAAATAAATCTATGTTATGACTGCAATCAGAAGATGATTAGTTTTGTTCACTGCATCTGAAAAATGCTGCAGAAAAAAAAAGTGTAAAAAATTAGTCATGGATTTCAAGCTGCTCCCCAGTGAAAAAATTATAGCGTAAAGGGATTTTAGCCTAAAAAAAGTAAAAGATTTTAAAAAGTTCTTTAAACTTGAATCGTTCTCTCTCTCTTTTCAAGAATCTCATCATTTTCATTCAATTGCTTCCTTTAGACCTTCAAACTTGACAGCTTTAAGACTTGTGGACTTCAACTCCCAGAATTCCTCCTCCAGTCATGTTAGCTCAGGAATTCTGGGAGTTGAAGTTCACAAGTCTTAAACTTGCCAAGTTTGAAGACCCTTGCTCTAGACCAGTGGCCCCCAACCTTTTTTATGCCACAGCCCGGTACCGGCATCACAAAATGATCCGCGGCCCGGTACTGGCATCACAAAATGATCCGCGGCCCGGTACCGGCATCAGCACGCATGGCAAGGTGAGCCGAGCGACCGGCCAGCCAGCTGTCCCCTGCTTCTCCCCGCCACCTTCAACTCCTCCTTTGTACCTTTGTCGATGGGCTTCGGGACGGTCGCTCGGCTCGCCTTGCCTTGGGTGCTGAAAGAATCCTCGCACCTTAGTTTTGTTCGAAGCCGCCCCCCCCTTCGATGAAACTAAGGCGCGAGGATTCCTTCAGGACCCAAACGCCGCTTTCCAACCGGAAAAGCTCACCAGAAGCACTTTCTCATCAAAACAAGATGGCGGCGCCCAGCAAACCGGCGGCCCGGTAGAAAATGTTCCAAGGACCGGTACTGGTCCGGGGCCCGGTGGTTGGGGACCCCTGCTCTAGACCCATTCAGTCTTCTAATATACACTCTTTGCCAACACAATCCTCGTTCATTATGTCTATATTACAAAACCATCTCAAAGTACTTCTTTCATACTGGCCATCATTTCAGTATTCAATCCATATACATTTAGCACCTATATATTCTGACTCCATTTCTTTCCTGTATTATCACATGTACTCTTTAAGTATGACATTCCACTTACTTTTATGTTTCTCTTAGCATACACGATTCATACTTTCATATAATCAGATGACAGAAGCATGCTCTTATTAACAGTTATTTTCATTTCTTCACTACTTGAAATAGACAACATACCACCCACTACTTTTCTATCAGTATTTGTCCACCTTAAAATTTCTCCATCCATTTCTTCCTATTTAATAAGCATCCTATGAAAATACAGAAATTAAGCTCCTTTAGTTTTTCACCATTTTTATTTAAATTCACATGGTGCACTCATGCTCAAGGACATGAACCAACAATTTGTTTTCTTGCTAAATAATATAGCCAACATTTATTATAGAACATTAACTCTCAGCCAACAACATACAGTAGTATAGTAAAGTACACACACATATTCAAGTCCCCAACCAATAAAATTCTAATATTACCACAAATTTCTCTTATATATTCATTCCTATATCCATGGCTTACAAGGGGACATCCATATATACTTGACTTATTCCATGTTGAGCCATTCTATTTATTCCTATGCATGCTTTAGTTTCATCACATACTTCTCTCATTCAGCAACCAACTTTCAATTCTATATTTGCACAAATCATACCTTATTTCAAGCCTATTCACTATCCTGATTGATTTAAACATGCAATACGTTTTTCACATTACACTGATACCTTTCTCAATGCCCTGATAAAAAGTAAAAATCAGGTTGAAGTCTTCCCAAATTTTCCTCATTAGCATTTCTCAAATATTTTCATAGCATGGTTGAGATACTAAACCCGTTACAGTTTTTGCATTCATCCTTGCTACATTTATCTTTATGATAAATTTACATTTATCTTTATGGCATAACATGATAGTCCCTGACTTGAACCACAAAATTTCCACAAACTACAATTTTGAGCCCAAAATTTCCATTGCTAAGTTGGTGAGCTTTGCCTCATTTTATGACTTTTCTTGACAGAGTTATTAAATGAATCACTGCAGTTGTTACATAAGTAACACTGTTAAGTGAACCATTTTTCCAATATTTTCTTTTAATTCCTACTTGTTGTTATTACAGAAAAGCCAAACATTCTGTTTTTATCATATCAAATAAGCTAGGGATGTCAAACTCAAGGCCCACAGGCTGGATCCAGCCCATAGGATGCTTAGATTTACCCCACAGGGAAACAAAAAACAGCAAAAACAGAGCTCCGGGGGGGGGGGGGGGGGGGGGGGGGGGGGCTGCAGGCCGTTGCAGCAGAAAACAATGCTTGGAGGCATGCCCCTCCAGCTCCATTTTCGATGGCTGAGGGCTGCAAGAGGCCAAAAATAGAGCTAGCGATGGCTGTACATGGCCCTCTCGAGCTTTGTTTTCTCTGGCAGAGGGTTGCAGAAGGCTGTTGTAGCCAAAAACAAAGCTCGGGAGCCCATTTTCACTGGCAGAGCCCTCAGGCCACCATAGGCGCCTCAGACATGAGTGACCCCAAGCTGGCCATGCCCACCCACCCCGAGGTAAAACGCAACATTGATGCAGCCCTCGGTGAAATTGAGTTTGACACCCCTGAACTAAACCATGGAAGGGCTATCACTTATTAAAGAATCAAACAGGAGCAGTCAAATTTATATGATACGAAAAGCCAGTATATACAAGTTTTTAACAAACCATACTCACAGGTTCTTGATAAAATTGTTAAGAAAATATAACATATATTCTCTGCAAAAGCAAAAAAGAAAATATTGTCTGCTGTTTTTTTAAAAGAACTTCTCAAAATATTTTGTAGAACTCAGGATATTAATCTAAACTAGAGGTGGACAACTGTAACTCCATG